ATAACACCATATAATATACGGACGATACTTGAAAAACAATGTGATAATTGTGACAGTCACCAGGTGGAACATATGTACTGGAAGATCTTAACCAGAATACGTAAACACAAGCTGTATGTTGGAAGACACGACAAAAACTTGTTTATCCCTATGACTGAAGAACAGTAAGGACACCAATTTTTAGTGCAACAGTGTCAGCATAACAAATAAAAAAAGACAGGAGAAAACACTCATTTATGGAAAGTTGGAGGTCCAATATCTCTTTAATGAGGTCGACCTTGTCTGCAGGCCTTCAAAACTAAACGAGCCCCAAAGCCATCAAAACTCTGAGCAGCAGTAATATCCGCCAAAATGTGCACGATTAATTAATTGAACCCGGTTCTTAGTACAATCCAAGATTCAAGCGGGCCATTAGAGCGAGAACTCTGGGGAAAAGTGATGCAAATGGGCCAACTAGGCAAAATAAAAGGAAATTGAACTCTGGAAAGAACGGGTCAGTACAAAGACACTGATAAAAATGGGAGTTGCAAAACAGTAGATAGAAAATAAGAGGGCGAAACCCTACTCAACTAAAAGAGCAAAAAAACCATTTCAATGAAGGAAAGGATGAAAGAAAATATTGGCCCTAATGTATCAATCGAATGTAGTAAGGATAGACCACAACACTGCGCAAAACGCAATCGGGTCGGTGAAACTCTGAGTAAGATGACTTACAAACAGTCGGTATGTTCATAAATTTAACGCAATCTTCAAACAAACAAAGGCACGGAGACAGAAACTAGCCCCCCCCCCAATCGCGTACACCTGATGTCAACCAACTATTGGCATATATCCTTCAACCATGAAGTACCCTGGATCACCTCACCGTGATAAGTACTCGGGATTTTGAACCATCATGCTGGGTGGTACACAATAGAATATTCAGGCGTCCTGCCTATCTTTCGGTAGTCAGCAACTGTTGAGTCAGAACTTGTAGAGAATTTGGATCTTAAACCGTGGCCTGCAACCAAACATTTGCTCAACGCATATGATATTCACTGGACATCTTCACCCTGGATGAAAATCACCCACACACCGCAGTCAACCCATAATGGCTTAAACTACCTTATCGGAAAACATGGCATTTTGATTGTTTTACATTGTCTCTAGTAGTCCAAAACAACTGCGATGTTTGATTGTGATTGTGTGGATTTTATCAGTTCTCAAATGAAATTTTCATCATATTGATTTCGGCTCACGTTTTTGGATTGGTTTGTTACCACGGGGGGAACCATTCATCCTAGTGACGCCCTACTATACAGGATACCAATTGTTGAAGTCGTGAATGAAAATTTCAGTTTTGGAATCATGCTAATTTTTCCAAAATACAACTGCAACATTCAATCAGAATGTGCCAGAATTAGCCGTGGAAGTACGCTTGCTTGAAAATACATGTCAAGGAATTTTTGTTCCTGTCAAGTTAGACGAATTTCAAAAATTCATGCTCACTTGAATTTCGTGTTTTGCAGCGTCTAGATAAACAGGTTGTCGTGAACTCGGCAATTGTACTCGTATCTGTCTTTCGAGAGTCAGAAGTTCAACAGGCGTCAATGGGTAAAGTATCTACGTCAACTGCTTCAGTATAGAACGAGGCCTGAATAGCGGACGTGGTGCAGAATACGACGTTATGAAGTTCATTAGTCTGATCATTCATGCCTGCATGAATGAACGAATGACTATTAGACTGACAACCTAAAGACATCACGCATGAGAGATTCAGCTGGCTTCCAGGTGAGTCACCCGTCAAACTGTAAGCGAAATGGGTGTATTTCGCTGACTGGCAAATTGGTTAACTCGAAGACCGGTTTCGATTTATGTTGTGACAAATTTCGACTCTTAGTGGATGCGGTCAATCAGTTGATTCTCATCAACACAAGGTAGATCGTACTGCTGCCCAACACAGATGGGCAGGGTCTGGTGTTTTCTAAAGCAACAGGATTACATCGTGATGGAATTTACTAGGAGATCAAAATTCACAAAATTTACCGAAAAAAAAACCACATCTACTCATTAAATTATCCCTTCAAAATGCTTCTGGACTGGGTAGGATAAGATCCAATCAGGCATAAAACTCGTGGATAGAGATATCTCTCGTAATGCATTAAATTCCTGGACCACACATACAGGCTTGTCTATGAAAACAACTTCTATACAATCCGTTACTCTCAAGGCTTGTTCGAATCGACTCACTAACACCCATGCACCCACAATCTGAGTGTAGCACTTTAAATAGTTATATGTTTTAGCCATAGTTAGATGAACCTACCGATGACGGAAACTTGGAGACTGCGCCCACCTGGTGAGCCTCAAGGAGGACAGAGGGGCATCGAAGACTTTTCAGACACCTTACGAGAGTGTATTACAGTGGCGGGCACTTAACGCAATCCGTCTTATTTCCATATCAACTTAGGAAGTATTGTCAGATTCGAGTTTGATGAGTGACGCTGATTACCAATTCACCCACCCAGTACATTCTGGTATTAAAGCTTCGAGTAGCTTATACTCAACCCACTGTGAAGTGTTTTCATGGCTTCAGATGTACTCATTCGGCTTCCTAATCTTTGTCATCGGTCACAGCGTGTAGAGAACTTACATATATTTATATTTATATATCCGCATATATACATGGTGCCGCACGAATCTTTTCTCTAATTGCTTGCATTTTTGCACAACCAACAACGTACCGCTACGCACAATTACGCTCCCCAATAACGCACTGATGATGTCACCTCGAGTGGTGATGAAACGTTTGCAATCAAATTGCCCAGCTCAGCGAAACAGCCAACGAGCATTTTTGCCTATTCTGCTAGGAGACTCATCAATGTAGCCTGTGCGAGACAGTATTGGTAGACTTGGTTTCACACAGCATGGCCACAACCATCAAACGTGAAGAATGAATTCTGAAGCGAAAGCAGGCAACCCAAAGCACCTGACAAGAGTACAAGAACTAAGGGTGTCAGAACAGCGTTGATGTGTCCGTTTCATCGACGAGTTAACTTTCCGGTCCACCTTTTTCCCCATTTAGACGGAAGTTTATGGGAAACTGCGCGCATAAATGCCCAACAGTCGTTAATGAAATCAAACTCAATGCATTTTATATTTTCTATTCATGAGAAAATACTTCATACCCAGACACGAACACTTTTATTATCACAGACATGTTTCGTTTATACGTGGATAACTAAACTGACAATAAAAACGGGTGACAGTGAGCACAAATAATTTGTTATGGATAAACTTTTCTATGAGTAAATTTTGATGTGAAGATCGCCAAACACTGTTTTGACTACATTTTTTCACTTTGGTTGTTTATTATTTCGAGATTGATATCATGCTTAAAAAACAGCCAGTAAGAGAAAAAATTAGCTTGGCTGCAGCCATCTCGCGTGCCTGCCACAGATTTCTGCCGACCGACGTACTTCCGGTTGTCGATCCTTTGTTCCTTGCACTTTCGAGCTCCGGTTTGCCGACAGTTTCTGCATTTTCCGAGAGTCTGCCGGTTGGCGGGTTGGCTGGTGGGCTGGTGGGCGGAGGACTGGTGAAAAAAACCACATTTCCTCATTAAATTATCCCTTCAAAATGCTTTGGTCTGGTGTTTTCTAAAGCAACAGGATTACATCGTGATGGAATTTACTAGAGATCAAAATTTCACAAAATTTACCGAAAAAAAAACCACATCTACTCATTAAATTATCCCTTCAAAATGCTTTGGTCTGGTGTTTTCTAAAGCAACAGGATTACATCGTGATGGAATTTACTAGGAGATCAAAATTGATGACGGAAACTTGGAGACTGCGCCCACCTGGTGAGCCTCAAGAAGGATAGAGACGGCTATGGGGCATCGAAGACTTTTCAAACCTCTTACGAGAGTGTATTACAGTGGCGGGTACTTAACGCAATCCGGTGTCTTATTTCCATATCAACTTAGGAAGTATTGATTCGATCGAGTTTGATGAGTGACGCTGATTACCAATTCACCCACCCAGTACATTCTGGTATTAAAGCTTCGAGTAGCTTATACTCCACTGTGAAGTCCGTCTTATTTCCATATCAACTTAGGAAGTATTGTCAGATTCGAGTTTGATGAGTGACGCTGATTACCAATTCACCCACCCAGTACATTCTGGTATTAAAGCTTCGAGTAGCTTATACTCAACCCACTGTGAAGTGTTTTCATGGCTTCAGATGTACTCATTCGGCTTCCTAATCTTTGTCATCGGTCACAGCGTGTAGAGAACTTACATATATTTATATTTATATATCCGCATATATACATGGTGCCGCACGAATCTTTTCTCTAATTGCTTGCATTTTTGCACAACCAACAACGTACCGCTACGCACAATTACGCTCCCCAATAACGCACTGATGATGTCACCTCGAGTGGTGATGAAACGTTTGCAATCAAATTGCCCAGCTCAGCGAAACAGCCAACGAGCATTTTTGCCTATTCTGCTAGGAGACTCATCAATGTAGCCTGTGCGAGACAGTATTGGTAGACTTGGTTTCACACAGCATGGCCACAACCATCAAACGTGAAGAATGAATTCTGAAGCGAAAGCAGGCAACCCAAAGCACCTGACAAGAGTACAAGAACTAAGGGTGTCAGAACAGCGTTGATGTGTCCGTTTCATCGACGAGTTAACTTTCCGGTCCACCTTTTTCCCCATTTAGACGGAAGTTTATGGGAAACTGCGCGCATAAATGCCCAACAGTCGTTAATGAAATCAAACTCAATGCATTTTATATTTTCTATTCATGAGAAAATACTTCATACCCAGACACGAACACTTTTATTATCACAGACATGTTTCGTTTATACGTGGATAACTAAACTGACAATAAAAACGGGTGACAGTGAGCACAAATAATTTGTTATGGATAAACTTTTCTATGAGTAAATTTTGATGTGAAGATCGCCAAACACTGTTTTGACTACATTTTTTCACTTTGGTTGTTTATTATTTCGAGATTGATATCATGCTTAAAAAACAGCCAGTAAGAGAAAAAATTAGCTTGGCTGCAGCCATCTCGCGTGCCTGCCACAGATTTCTGCCGACCGACGTACTTCCGGTTGTCGATCCTTTGTTCCTTGCACTTTCGAGCTCCGGTTTGCCGACAGTTTCTGCATTTTCCGAGAGTCTGCCGGTTGGCGGGTTGGCTGGTGGGCTGGTGGGCGGAGGACTGGTGGTTGACTTTAAGCAGTCATCCTCTGTTCCAGCAGTATATGGTTTTTGACCCAGGTAGTTGCCACTAAATTAGAGCGTGGAGAATGTATAATAGCTTTGTCGGCGTTAAGAATGAATATAAAAAACTAACGACATTTCCTGTGAAAATCGTTTCAGTTCCCTGCCTAAACGAGTCAAACTTGACAGGTTTTACACATTTCCGGGATCGGTATTCACTAAAATAGTCCACAATTCTCTACCCTCCAAGGAGTATGTGCTAGCAAGGTGGCACGATATGATAACTGTCTGTACTCAGAGTAAGTCGAAAGAGCTAAAGTTCTTCCGAATTATCAACCCCGTGCGCTCGTGAAAAAAAAACGCATTCCATACATTCATATACTGACGACGGATTTTGATCGTTTCACCAGCAAAATCGGTCGGTTCGTGTGTGAAGATGTCATTCTCGGGATCATCGCTCCTTCTGAATGATTCATTTTGTGAGTCAACGATGACTGACGCCAAGCTTTGTTCAGCGGAGGTTGAAAACCAAGTCTGCAAAGACGGCATTGTCAAGTTACTTTTTGTTATTTGATAATTACCAGATACTGCACGGCTACAGTAATACAACCCATGAATACACATGGATAATTCAAATTTTTGAATTTCATTGTTCCCGGTGTTCACTGAGTTATCATGTAAAGCATGCAGTTCTTAGAACTGCCGTAAAGAGTTGATCCCTCCGTAGTCTCTAAAAATTTGCCTAGGGACACACGAAAAATCACAAAACTGCGTAAAATTCTGATACGCATTTAAGAATTCCAATTGAGAGGCACGTAAAAATTTTATTAGCTAATTCGCTGGAAAAAAATCAGTTTACTTAGTGTCACATGAATAGTAGAATGATAAAACCACGAGCACACAGCAGGCCTCTTCCGAAACAGCCCTGTAAAGAAATATTTTCATAAAAGAACGTGATTTCCTTCAGTCTAAGTTTGTTGCCACAGCGTTCCTTGTGCTGGAGGAACACTACCAAAAGATGACTAATACATACGCAATGGATATTTCTGTCATTTGACCTAAACAAACACGACAGGATTGTAGCCAGCGCAACATCCCGTTTGCTGGTTGGCCTACCATTCTGAGGTCAGCTACAAGGGTCAGATAACTAACTGAAACTTCACTGATGTCAACTCTTGCTAGAGTGAACACATTTTATCAATGTTGGCAAAGGCACAGATGGAATGAATTCGCATTTCTAACTTCATGAATATCGAGTAGGACAAAGCCCCACGTTAGTGCACTGGCTTTGCTCTTTGCGTAATAAAGGGTGTGCTCCCTTGTCATATTTAGGTAGCACAGGTCCACAACACACTATACCATCCAAACCATACTGAGTGATCGATTTGGGCTGGTTGCTCCGGTGGGGTTTTAATTCACAAACAAGCCACATTCAGCCCCAGATGACTAACACGTATGTTCGAATGAGGCGAGGTATAATATTCAGTGCGAGGTTGGCAAATTATTTCTGGACTTTATCTGAACCGAGTTGATGGGAGGAAAGTCTCAGAGTGATGAAATTCATTGTGCAGATGACTGCACTGACGGCTTAAGAAAAACTGAATGTTTATTATGAAGTGGTTGTTAATGTAGGATATGACTTATAAACCTGGGGTTTGGTGGCCCGCTTGTCGCAGAAAAGTCAGCCATACCCCAGACTTATTTCTTGGTTCGACGATCCTCAGGTGATTCTAACGGATAGTGTGTGGTATAGACTTTCGTACTTCGCTGAAGGTGTCTTATCTGATTGTCGTTATGTGCTTGCTATCAACGGATGCAACCTATATTTCAGCAAAATCATGATCGTTAGTTGTTTCGCTGGGCTGGGCAGTTTGATTGCAAACGTTTCATCACCAATCGAGGTGACATCATCAGTGCGTTGTTAGGGAACGTGGTGAAGCGTACCGATGGGTTGGTGGTTGTGCGTGTGTGTTAATATACATGCTGCTAACCTGGGTTGACCTTCTATCATGATTGGGTGTTCGGTCGTTCGGTTCTATTGGTTGTTCTGTTATCCTGCTTCTCGAGTGATCGATGACCACGTGAATTGTGAGTCTGGCCTTCCCTATGCTCGTGCTCTGATCGACGCTGGAATGACCTCTGTGGTTGATCTCTCTGGGTGCCGGCTTGTGAACTTTGCTGATCCATCTCCAAGCCGTTCATTGCTTCTTCGATTGTGAATCCGATATTTGGCTCTCCTCGAATATTCCGTTTAGAGGAGTTGATCCTTTGAAGGTAGTGGTGCGTAAATTGGGTCCAATTCAATGCGCCATTTGATCGAATCAGCCATGGAATACCAGTCCTCCGAAAATTCCCTTCTATGCTTCGTCTCTCCGTATGCCAAAATTTTCACTTTTCCCTATTGAATTTGTGGCCTCCTTGGTTTTCGTGTATGGATATTAAAGATAGGGTGTCATGTCTCCTACCGTTCGTGTGCATAATTTCCTCCCAGTTTGTCCAATGTAGAACTTGCTGCAGTTGTCGCAGTTGATTTGGCGTACCACTTGCTCCTCTTGGTTTTGTCTTAGTTGTCCTTCGGTCTGGAGATCAGTTTCCTCAACGTCACATTCGGTCTGTGGTACACAACGATCCCTTTTTGGGCCAATAATTTGCTTGTGAGTTCAGATATATTTTGAATGTAAGGTGGAACTACTTGTCTGGTCGCCTGTTCTCCTTGTTGCTTTTGTTGAGATGTTTTATTCTTCGAACTTCTCTTGATAAACTTCCCTGGATACCCATTGTTCTGGAACACTGAATAGATAGTTTTCTTCCATCTCTCGTGATTCTGTTGTGCTGCAGATTTTGGACGCAGATCTTCATGTGGTTCGTTGGGTGATTACTGTTGTAGTTGACAATTTAATCTGGTATACACAAGTTTCCAGAGTTCCATCAATCTTCTTGTTCACACACATTTGGATCATTTAGATTTGAAGGATAAAGTTCTAAGGTACTCGTGCCATCAGCGCATTAACTAAGCGACAGAGATTCTGGATCATCCACCCCAGTACATTGAGGCCTGGCCGAATAAACACGCCTCCATTACAATTATCATCTATCACGGAAACTCTCTAGCCCCTGCCGAAAGCACGTAGGAGACTGAGTAGTTAAAGTTACTTCCCGTAGCCAGGGTTACTGGAGAGTTTTCTGAGATTGGAATATATTCCACGAAAAAAGATTAGATGATAAAATGCACCGAAGAAACCGTGGGTTTGTAGCTAAAAACGACTATTTTGACACCAGCACATACATCTGTATAGTGGAGCTTGCAAGTGCTCGTCAGGACCCAAGTAAAAAATGTTCTTATAAGATTCACAGGCAACTTTCAACCCGTGGGTTTTTAAGTGATTCTAAATTCTTCGGGAAAGTTTATTCGTGGTGGGTCGGATTAAACTTTTGAGACCCATCGTGCCAAATTTCCATAATGGACTGGTCACACATTCTGCAGACTGCTCTGCAAGTTATAGCCGGTATTTGCGGGTGCAAGAAAAAAGAGTTGCAGTTCACTCTGTTCCCCATTTTGTATCATCATAGTAAGAAGAGACAAGTTAGTTAGACAAGTTAGTTAGAAAGATAACTCACGGTGGTTTGTAGTCGCATACATAAAGCGTTGTTCTGTTCTCAGGACAGTGTTTAACACCACATCCGAGCTTTGTTGAAGTAGCCCAAGCCATCTGAAATAGTGTGGAATAATGGGGTGCGGTGCTGTTTTGACTACGAATGAATAAGTTTGACCATGCTTATGAAAGAATACACAGGTTGGTGCATTGTATTTGGCATGCGAATTGGAAAAGTTGAGGATTCAGGTCCTCTTGAGCAATACTGTGTGCCATGCACTGACTTGTTATGCTGTGCTATGCTATCATGCTATGGACACATGATACCCAAACAGGTGGAATCCGTTTCTCACAAGATAGTACCTCTTTTTGTCCGTTTGCTGTGGCTGATGAGAGGGCATGTGATATCACCTCAGAGATAGGCTCAGCTGTTACCACTGGCAGTATGAATACATAGGGTCGAAAAAATGAGGCATACAAAACAGCATTTATATTTTTAAGCTTAAAAACAAAGCCAAATTTCTTGTTGTCCAAGTGAGTTTGTCTGATGACGGGAAGCTTCCAGATTGTGTTTTGTAGATAAAGTCTTGGTAAGATGCGCAACGGAACCTAAACCCGAGGCACCTTTTATGTTGACTCGATTAGAATTTTCACACCATAGCCGAGAAATCCTGGTGACTGCGTAGCATATTCTGCGCACCAATGGCAACCTTTCACAATGACAGAAAACCACCATTCATAATTCGGTATTCTCGAATATCCTAACAACTTTGAAGAGTGGTTAAATAAAAAAAATGTCTGACGGGATGACCTTTTGATCAGAGAAACCTGGCTAATCTTATAGTGGTAGGTATGCACATTATATAGGCGGAATAACGTGTGAAAGGGCAAATATTTCATGGCAAGTGGAGGCATCCCATCAATGTAGACAGCCAGTGAAAATGTCAAGTGTAGTCAAAAGACACAATATGAATGGACTAGGTCAATCAACCGTTATTTTCGAGGTTTGAAGTGAAATTCAACAGAATATACACTTTGGTTGCCAAGCTCGGCGAACAGACCAACAACCAAACAGCACACCCGAGCTATTTACATTCCACAACATTGCTAGAATATACACTACCAGAACAAACCAGGAATGTGGTAAGTCGTAAGTACAGGGCGCAGAGGAAAACATAGATGTGAGTATGTAAGCCGGGCTCTGCTGCCACATCTCAATGCAACGGAAACGCTAATGGAGTTTGACGGACTCGTTTTCTATTTGTTGGACTTGTTTTCTGATTACTTGTGGCCCTCAGCAACCGTTACGCATCACCGTGAAGAGCCGGTGGTGAAACCATAGAATCCCGCGAATTCTGTGCACAAAAACTGGCCAGCAAATGACTCGTCGAAATTTCTGGTCGATCGGATGTCATGGCACCATTTATTTATTCCACCATGCCTGTACGTCTATAAAGTTTTACTATTTTATGTTATTAACGACGACTTAAGTACTATGAATTATTAGGCATCAAATATGCACGACATTGAAATTAATCAATGAGCTCCTATATAGTGAGGCTGAAACGGGTTATTACAACAATGCAGTTGAAGATCAACATGAGACAACCGTTAAATGTTGAGTGGGAGCAGAGTAGAAGACAACGCTTTCTTCGGTAGACAATGGTTAGGCGCACGTTGCACATGCTCCATCCACTTCCACCTGGCAACTTTAATCAGCTGCTCTAAGAAGTACAAAGTCGCAGATGACGTTCAACTTTATCACTACTTTTTGCGTTTAGACTACGCATATCACATTGACGTGCTTCTGATGACCTGACCTGCATTTAAGTTTTCTTCCAATATCCATATCCTTCAAAAGCTAAAATGACTGTGTAGAACTGCCACATGGTCTTCAAAGGCTGTTTCCTTAAACTGGAGGCTCTATGTAAAGCGTTCCATGTGGCTTGTTCCGTTTTTTTAAAGTGGATATTGATGTCGTTCACATTTAAACTCATGACCAGTTCGGGACACCCTCAAATAAGCGAGTTAACAGTTACGAATATTAGTTGATCGTGGTTCATATGAAAGAGGAGACAGTGAAAGTCAATATCTCTAAATGTTAGCAAAATAAGTAACCATGAATAAACCGTTTTAGAATGATGATTAAAAGCGTAATACAAATATGAAATGAAAAAAATTCGAAGCTTCCTCTTCGAAGACTTGAGCAAGACAGGATGTAAAAATACCTGGGTGTAATGTAAACACTCCGTCATTGGCTTGCAGCTACCACTTGAGTAATTGTAGTTCATATATTCATCCACCCACAGTTTCACGGCTCTGTATGTCAAGAAATAAGAAGGTTTTAGAAGAAAAACATATCAGTTAGGCAGGGAATGAAATAATACTAGTGAGTTACTTTGAGTTTCGAGGCAGTAAGGAATTCTCAAAATTTCACTCTATACTTTACAAATGTAATCATATATACTGCAAAAAGCCGGTGTGCTTGTCTAGGATGACAATTGTGTTAGGACTGTGTTGCTGATGACTGCAAATAGATGGAAGAGCATGAGGATGATCAGAAACACACTTCTATTTCACTATGCACCTACTATCACGAAAGACCCATACAGTAAGCACACCGGAAAGCTTTGACATCTCAGATTTTAACTCACTGAAAAATTTCTTAAGAATTCGGTCTCTTCGGAAAAGTCGAAAGTCTTTCCGAACTTTCACAGTTCATCAGCATCCAGTTTTTTATTTAGCAATTACCTCGGCTTTTCACTCTTCATATTTAAGGGAAAGTATTAGTCTTATTCGGAAACAATTAGATACTCGTTTGGACCTAAAAGGGACTTTTCCGATAAGTGCGTAGGAATTAGGTCGGGATACTCAAGTTCAAAGCTCACTTAACTTATTTAAAAACAAGGCGGTCACCGAACTCAATAGTGCACGCAGCACAGAAGAACAGCAGGGGAAAAGTGCCAAGCTCAAGACTTGACTTGCACTATTCACTTGAGCCACAGGCTGTAAGGAACAAAAGTAAAATGAAATCCCACTTTGCTGTTGATCCACGTTCGCAGATAAATACTAGGGTAATGCAATCAAAAAGTGTCAATTGCTGCGTGATTTGGTAAGATACACTCCTTTTTCGTATATAGCGTACCAAAAGGACCATCTTTCCAAAGCTTTGACGGTGGATTTCAGGTGAGTTCAGATAGAGAGTGGTAGGCTGATTACGAGTCAGCTAAGATGAAATCAAACATTCATAAACTCACAATTCAAGGTTGCTTGCAACAGCAGCATTCTGTCCTACGCCTTCCAGTTCACCATGAGCGAACTTACAATTGTCTGCCCACCTTTGAGCTTGGGCTTCTACGTCTGAGTCCCAGACCTAAGTTGAACAAAAGTGAAAACATCATACTGTGACACAGAACGTATGAGGACACAGGTAAAACGTTTCATCAACTAACAAACATACTCAAGCAACTGTTGATTTCATCCATTTTCTCAAAAGGACGAAGAAGAACTTGAGAAGTGTCGGATTAGGGATCGATCTTATTACTTTCGTACACAATATCTATTAGTGCTGTTGTGGGCACAAGACAACGAAAATCTAGATTGCTAAAGAGTGCATGGACTAATGGTTTGCTCAAATCGGAAACTTGACTTCTGTTTTATTTCACTAGAAACTTTGTGATCAACGCAATCAAAATTTGGATGTTACTACTAAATGGGGTTTTCCAGAAAATTCTAAATATGAGCAAATCTGCTACTGCTTGAAAAGAAAGTTAGATCACAACGGTTGTGATGACTGCTTTCAGTAGCACCTTCTTATCAACCTTGATTATAGCAAATTATCGTCACTGGGCTGTTGAAAGCATGTACTCTCCATGTGCACTCTCTGTGTGCAATCCAGAAATCTCATTTGTAACATGAGAAAGCAACCATTTTCACAATTTCTAATCAATGCGAACTCGAAATCTCCCTTGAACACATCTTGCTGGCTGGCTGCGATGCCACACAATATATTCTACATTACTTGTCCGATTTTACTAGTTTTTTAGGAGAGCCTGAGGAGATGAAAAATCACCATGATATGCCAGGCCGTCCAAATGTAGGTCGCTCCAGCCGCTGATCAGTCTCTACGTGATTGCACAGGTATTGGACTATTTACCAGTAGATCCTGGGTCGCCCGAGAAGCACACTGTTGATGATTATTAATTAGCGTATTACATTTGCAGAATGTTCTTAGTGTTGCCTGCGATTGACGGTTCATTTACGAGAGTAAATAACTATCAAAACCGTTCGTTCTGTTGGTGTAACGGTGAACACTACTGATGAAGCATGTGAATTTGTGGAATCCGTTTGTAGCATTGTTTACGTTTGAGGGATAGTCAATGAGTATCCAGGAAAGTTAAGGAAGACCTGCTCGAGAAGAAGACGGATACACAGTTTTTATGAACAAGATGCATATGAGAGTTTTGCTTCCATGTTCACTAGTCGGTAACTGTTCGTTTGGTGTTTTCCAGTAAATAACTCTGCAGCAAAGGCCTTCTTCCTTTCGTTGGTATTTTCGGATTACAATCTATTAATAATAATATACTGTCGAGACCTCGCCAAAACGCATGACCGTGTAAATAAGTAGGCATCGGAAACTGCTTCTTTTATTATGCGCACTGCTGCGATAGTCCAGGTAGTTTGAAATTTTCCATGCGGTGACCTAGCATAGACTCGTTTATCAAACGAGAAAATTTGTTTGCCCACTGCTCCGCCAAAAGTTTGGTCATCAAAAATTCGGGTCATGCGAGACTTGCGGCAAACATGGAATTACAAATAATTGCTCTATCTAAAGGCGTTAACTAAGATCTGCAAACTAATCCACAGTTAACTATCGTCTGCTTATTTAGAGGGTGTAGCCTCTCAAGAAGAGCAAGACACGGTCACAAACAATATAGTTGGACTAAACATTGCACAGATCGAATAGACTTTGAGATAACTGAAGGGCATAATAAATGGAGTGAGCTTAAAGTTGACCCAGGCAGCCTAAGCTGGGAATAGCAGTTCCTTGAGTCCTAAATTGGAATTTATTATGAAGTCAGTAGAAAGTTGTCTCAAGCTGTGTTATAAATCTGTATGCTCAGAGTTGGACACGAGCGGTGAAAACCAGGAGAAGTTAGTAGCTTCGGTAAGATTCCGCAGGGTGAAAATGTAGTGATGGCTGAAAGGTTTAGTCTTCCAACTCACTTATTACTAAATTCCAGGTGATCGTCGATTGATTAGGCTTACCATCGAAACTGAAAGAATTGTTTCTCGTCAAAAGGAATTCAAGTTAGGAACGAAAGTCACAGTCTCTAACCGCACCTTGGTTTTGTGTTGAGTCTGCGCCTCCTAAACCTTACAAGCCAGATATCTCAAACTGGTATTTATTTGCAGGTGCTTTTTTCACGATGATTCAATATACCGTGGTGCACATTGAGGACATTGCTCGGACGGAAGGCTGCGACAGAATTGTCCTGTACGATGTACTCCTTCTCTCGTGTTCCGTAAAGGCTACTCATTCGTTGTTCCCTCGAATTAACATTTATGCAGTAGTTCTTTTGTTATGGGACTTGGGGGATCAGCGAATGCACAGGGAAATCGTACACTAAGGGCCGCAGAATGTGCAGTGCTTCACGGTTGGAGGCACCCAGTTGATTCTTAATGAGACCCCGGTAAACATTGGGAATAGCTTGATATTCTAGAAAACTGGCAAATAACGTGCTTTTGTGGAGGCAAAATACTTCTTTATATGGACCAGTGTGTTCTCTGATGGCGATGTTTCGCCTAGTGATACTTGTTATTTGTTTTATTTGGCAAAGCTGTAAGCGAATAAATCCAGGCCAGCAGGAAAGGATGCTCTGCAACAACACAAAGACGAACAGAAATTTCAGCCCCACTGTAGAAGTGTCCCATAATGGATACGTTCTCGATACTTATGTACACAGTATCTACTTGTGCTCTAATGGGTCCCTTAGAATGCAACAGAAACCCATATTTCAGAAGAATTCATGGAGTAGGCTGCAAGCGAATGAATCCAGACCAGCAGAAAATGACGTTTGGTAACAAGATGTGATGAAGGGCAGCGTAGTGGAAGCTAACCACGAACATGCCGGTAGGAATGTTCTCTGACTTGGTTGTTGGTTCTCCCTGTTACCAAACGCCTCTGAATAAATTGTGCAAAGTGCACTTAGTTTCACAAGGGACAACCCAAATAGAGATATACTGTATTATTTGTGGTCTCTGACGTTCATTCTAACTTCGGCTAGGAGCATGCCCAAAATGTCTCAATTTTTGTACTCTCGCCTGCAATTTTTAGAGGTTTTGTGTCGACGAATAGACAAAAACGAACTTTTGGTTGCATTCCATGGACTCTAATAGAGCATTATCCTGGTTCATATAGGTCCACTCTTCTGAGACCTCTGCGACCGGAGGGACGCGTGAGGCAAATCCGAACCGTTCGGTGCATTACTAACATAAAATATATGACGACTGGCACAGCGGGTTATGAAAACTAGTATTTTCATGAAACCTCTCCCACCATCCATTAACAAGATAACAACGAATTGTAGAATTAAATGATAAGGGTGCTAATATCCGTTGCGCTTATTTGCATGGAAATGGTATAACTTCTCCGATGGACTTTTTAGTGCAATCGGATTCATTTAACCTCTGCGTTTGTATGTGGTGTTTGGTGGCATAGCGTAGTGCAGCTCCACAAAACACAATGAGTATATTCCGAACGTAACTGTTCACTTCATAGCTTTTTGAGACAATAATTCATGTAATGGAGGGTACAACATGCTTTGTGGGGTTTGTTGTTAATTTTACAAAGCATACAATGTTGCACGTTTAACTCATTATTACAGATTTATGAATATAAATTTTAAAATTCTCGCTTACCATAGGTTCGTATGGTCCTTTGACCGGCGGTTGGCCGGGAAGCTGGCAGGATCTTATCTTATCTCGAAGATCATTGTGATACTTAAGAAGCTTCTGTCTTTGAGCGTCTGTTGTTTGTTCCCGGGAGGGCTGGGTGAAACCTACTAGCAACAACACGTATCCGGCAAATCTGACTTTGAACATGTTGATAGCGAAATGTGCTTCACTTGTGTCGATATAAATATATATACACTGATTGAGCGAAAAACGTGACGTACGTACGCAGTGAAAGGTTTTCCTGCTCACGGCATCTGGCAGGAAACAATAATGTGAGTCACCGTCTTGGTGAAAAACAAGGGTTTCAAAATCCCTTCACAGAGACCCACGCTAAGTCTGATTGATCGAAACGTGTCGAGACCTCCTGAATCGCACTACACCCAAAATTCAGTCAATCAAAATGTTGTCAGAATCCACTTATTTTTCCGTATCTTAAATCGGAGCATGTGAGGAAGACCTGTGAATTAATTCAGTTTCTGCCATGAAGCATTCCAATCTGTGCGCGCGGTTTGTCAACTATCAGACGTTATTTTGCTACAGATAACCAAACAATAAACGTGATCTGCAACAGCGATCTCAGAGTGACTGGATGGGAATTTGATATATCTTGCAGAAGATGTGCAAAGGCTCGAAACTCTACTCAGATTTTTAATAAATCGCAGGTAGCTTAGATCAAAATTGGCCGTTCAAAATGTTTCTGAATAGGCACTGTCACATTCCACCGGGTCCTGAGAATTGCATAGAGTATGGGCCATAAGCTCCGGTATGCGTCTATTCCTCGGTAAGCTCCCTTCAAAAAGGAGCGGCCTACGGTCACGTAAAGCCGGTCCCTTGGAATTTGCCACCAAATAATGCATGTTTGGTCCAACACGCTTGAGGGTTCCATGGGTATTGTTAGGATCAAATGAACTTTCATGTAAATATCCCGACAGTAGATCCATCGAAAGAGCGTTTACTTCTATAAATATGGCATATTAGCAGTCGCTGTTACCCACAACTGGACCCAATTCGGTATTCTACTGGGTTCTGGAAACCTGGTAATGCAAACACCTACAAGACGTTAAGCCTAATATTTGACGGGGAAAAATGCTCGTTTGCAAAACCACATGGAAGTTCCTGCGTTCTTCCACAGGCTCCCCCAGATTATACACCACAGTTAGATTCACTTGGTTCACATTGTGAGACATCACCGCACGTCCTAAGCGACAGATGGTTAGACAGTTCGCTGAAGTTATTTTTTATTCATTATCCATCATCGTTGTTGTTTACAAATACTGGACGCTTATTAATGTGGCAAGGGGAGCCTAAGCTAATGAATAGCCTTCTGCTGTCTGCAAAAGCTGCACATTGGTCTGACAAACTGATCCTCATTCTCAGCATTAAGGTGCTTATGGGCTTCTCGAAACAGATTGTTTTCAGTTGTAGAACGGAATCACCTTTGAAAGAGCGACGAAATCCTCTCCTCCTATCAATCAACTACTGAGCTGTTAACATAAGTAGCTCAGAGGGACGAATGATTCATACAGCGAGTGAAACATCCATATGAGAAGTAAATACCTAATCTTGATGACGAGAGTTCCGTGAATGCAGAATGAGTGAGGTCATGTCCTGTGTAAGTG